TGCCGAGATCTCTTTGGAGAGACGCAAAGAAAGTGGCGAGATTTGGGGCACCGTTGAGTGGTCAGAAGCTGTCATGACACGCAATCCCCCTCCTCCACATCACCTTCACTGTAAACTTTTGTATTCCGTCTCTCTCAACCTCTGAATACATAAACTCTATATATTGCACTAGGTAGTTGCAGAGCACAATGAATATACTGAATCCTGCGAGGTGAAAGCTTCCGTTCCTAGTTGAGACGAGGCAAAAGATTCATTTGCTTAAGGTGAATTATTATTTGTACCATATCTATCTTTCATGGTTCGTCTCTAGATGTTGTTTACTTATGCTTTGACTTTTGTTTGTATCATGTTAGATTTCGATCCGTCAGCAAATGAAGAATACTATTGTTCTTCGCCATAATGTGGTGAAGCTGATTAGGAGAAGAAATATGCCGACAAATTATTTTGAAAGAAATAATTAATGTTTGTTTAGGGCATATTGCTCCGTCAACTAATGTTCAGTGGAGAATGAGTGGTGCAACTTGAGCACTTCATAGATCATACCCATATATGCATGTTTTCTCTTACAGCTTGGATATTATAAATCACAAGCAAAGCGAGGTTGTCATGAACCTAGTCATCATCTATGTGACTATGTGTCGGTTTGACAATTTTCAACTTTTATTTTTTTCCCCCTCTTTCTGCATATACTGATTTTAACAGGAAAAACAAAACAAAACTATACATTAGCGTACGAGTATCCGTTATTGCTCCATCACGAAAGGTCGACCGCTAATGTTAATGTAGCTAGGGATTTGTATTAGAACGTTGAATCCGCCGGTAAATTGAACAAAGTTTCATGATATTTTAAAATATCTAATAATCAGTACGTCGAAGTTAGTGCGACCTGAATTGATCGACATTTAATAAGTTTTGCGATTTAGATTTAGATTTTGATACAGATCATTCGAATATGTGTAACAAATCAGAATATTATGGTTTTGTTGGATTGGTGTGTTAAAAAATCCGAAATATTATATTCTCATACATTTTAATGTTTTTTAATGGACACCGCCATGCGTTTTTCTTCAATCCTACACAAAATAAGCTTTGAGAAGTTATCTAAGTAATAATCAAATTTGTCTGATAGAGACGTCTTCTAAAGACGTTTTGAGTTAAACGTATATCTATTTACAGATTTCTTATGGTCTAAAATCAAAAGAAGAAATAGATGAAACACAGTAACATAGACTATAATCTTCGAGATGAATTCTGCTAAAATGGAAATAGCCCGAGATAGCAATTCAGGCTTATCAACGGTGACGAACAACTCATATATGGTCTCATTCGCTCTAGTCATCGCGTTTTGACAAGGCCCAAACTCTGCTTCGATGCTCTGTTAAGAACTTGACAATATCATGATTTGTATATCTCATTTTAGCACTAAATGCAAGATGCTCTACAATATGAGCAACTCCACGCTGATCCTCCTTTTCCAAAACGCAACTGCCAATTAATCAAAAGGTGTGTCAGCGATAGATTGTTGATTTTCATTCAAAAAACAAGAAATATATAGAACGAACATAGCCCAGTTTTGGTACAATGAGATATAGATATATTCATGCGTTTCCTAAACAGTCACCAGAAGAATCATTAATCTTTAACATAAATAAAAATCGCAATATAAAAACTTATTGGGCTGCGCATCAGAATTCTGACCCAAAATTTGATTGGAAGTTAAACAATTCTAAGCAGAACTTAGCAAGAGAAGAATGGAGAGAGAGAGAGTTGAATCGACGATAGTAAGAACAATGGATGCAACAAAGAGTAAAGCCATATGGTCTAACATAAAGTAAAGCCATATGGTCTAACATAAAGTAAAGCCATAATAAACAAGAATCGAAACTGTGTATTTTATCGTATGGTGGGAGATACAAAAGTCTTAATTCTTAAACACAATTTTTAACAATCCCATATAAAGGGTGGATAAGCTATGAAATTTGGGTGTGATCTTGATTGTTTCTTCTAGGTAAACTTATAGTTGCATTTCAAAACTATACCACAAGATTTTCAGAATCTCCAAACATTTTTATACAGTTGTCGAAATTGACTCACAAAGTGGCAGACGGCTTGGTGAATCACATTGTTAAATAATAACAACCATGTCAAAGAAACTCCATTTATATGTAAAAATGTGACCAACAACCTTTTTTTTTTGTTTATAGACGATTACAAAGAAAACCAAAAAAGAACAAAGTTTGAAAGTTTAATGGTTTGAAAATTCAATAAGACAAAAATATACTCATATAATATAATATTATTATTTATTTTTCAAATATAAACCCTTTAAAAACCAAGGATGGAAGATGGTTTTTTAGTTGCCCATAATCCATATTGTCAAAAGACTCAAAACCGGTCGAGAGGCTTGTGCAATCAGAACCGGTCAAGTTTTATTCTAATCCGGTTTTAGTTAATTAGTTTTAAATCCTTTAACTCCCTTTATCTGTCTCCCCCTTTACCAAGATTAAAAAGCAAGGCCAAAAACCAATCTGGAACACAAGTTATAATGCTCGAGAATTACATTCTCTGAAGAATCACGTTCTCTGAAGATCACTTCCCTTTTCTCTCAGGTAAACAAGTTTCGGATCATGCAATACATTACTCTCAATCGAATTTGTTTCCTCCTTCTGATCGACTCCTGTGTGTGTCGTAGATTTAAGAAAATTGTCTGAACAAAAAAATCAAAACTTTATAATGTTTGATTTCTAAAAATCAAGTCTTTGTGATTGTTGAATTGCACAACTTTGAAGTCTCTTGCTTTTCCTCGTCTCTAGATTCTCCATTAGAAAGCGAATATGGAAGAAGGTGATCGAGGACTGATTAAAAGAGTTGCATTTGTCCTGATCGATGGTTTGGGAGACGTGTCAATACCGAAATTAGGCAACAAAACTCCTCTACAAGCAGCGAACATACCTAATCTCGACGCAATCGCATCAGCTGGAATCAATGGTCTAATGGATCCGGTGGAAGTTGGATTGGGATGTGGTAGCGACACGGCTCATCTCTCTCTGATGGGTTATGACCCGAGAGTGTATTACAGAGGACGTGGTGCCTTTGAGTCCATGGGTGCCGGATTAGCTATGTCACCAGGTGATATAGCTTTCAAGGTGTGTGTGTTTTGTGTGGTGGTTTAGTCTTCTTCATCTTCATTTCATCTTCTCTTGTGTAGTTAATGGTTCGACTTTATCATGCAGTCTAATTTTGCGACATTGGATGAGAAATCTGGAATTGTTGTGAGTCGGAGAGCTGATAGGCATTTCGAAGAAGAAGGGCCTATTCTTTGTGCAGCTCTTGATGGCATGAAGCTCCCATCTTTCCCTGAGTATGAAGTGAGAGTCAGGTGCAAAAGATGTTCTTTATAAAGTCTTTATGATTTTGGTTTTGCGTTTTGGCTAAAGGAGGAATTTTTTTGGTTTCTACAGATATGCAACAGAGCACAGATGTGGAGTGGTTGTAAAAGGGCCAAGACTTAGTGGGAATATATCTGGAACAGACCCTTTGAAAGATAACCGTTTGCTTCTTGAAGCTAAACCTTTGGATGAGTCAGAAGAAGCCAAGCACACAGCTAAAGTCGTTAACGAATTATCCAAGGAGATATCTCGCATTCTTGTTTCTCACCCGGTTAATGCAAAGAGACTTGCACAGGGCAAGAATATCGCCAATCTTGTTCTTCTACGAGGCTGTGGTATTCGAATTGAGGTCTGTGTGTTCACTACTTTACTGTGTATCTTACAAATGCTTTTGATGAATCTAACTGTTATGGCTTTTGGTGTATAAAAGGTTCCTCCTTTTCAAGAGAAGCATGGCTTGTGGCCTTGTATGGTAGCACCAACAAAGATTATAGCTGGACTTGGTATGTCTCTCGGTATTGACATTCTTGAAGCTCCAGGAGCCACTGGAGATTATCGGACGCTTCTCACATCGAAAGCAGTTGCAATAGCCAATGCTCTCTCAGCTCCTTTGAATCCCACCCCAAATGTCTTTGTACCGGGAGAGGACGGACATAAACCGGGAAGGTCTGATGGGTATGATTTCGGGTTCCTTCACATAAAGGTGAGAACTTTTTCTCTGCTTCTCAACACAAAACTTGAAAATGGGATATTCTGAAATGTAGATGGTTTTTTACTTTCAGGCTATAGATGATGCTGGTCATGACAAAGCGACGATGTTCAAAGTTAAAGGCTTGGAAGCTGTGGATAAGGCGATACGTCAGCTCGCTAAGCTTCTATGGATAGCTGAGTCTTCTACAAATTATCAGTACTTCTTGTGTGTGACTGGTGATCATTCCACTCCAGTTGAGTATGGAGACCACAGCTTCGAGCCTGTCCCATTCACAATGTGCCGGTTAAGAGAGTTTGTGAGCGCGGTTGGAGGAGAATCAGCTCTGTTAGAGACGTCTTTGGACCCTTTTCCACTTCCAACGGTTGTGGAATCCGGTGAAGATGTCACCGACGATGGTGGGAGGAAGAAAGCTCCTGCGGCGATTGGTGGAGATTCAGTTGCAGAGCTGAATGAGATCGCAGCAGCAAGAGGATGTCTTGGCCGTTTCCATGGCGGTGAAATGATGGGAGTCATCACCAAGTTCCTTAAGCTTGATGTATGAATTTGGTAAATTTTACTCTCTTTTTTTTTTTTTTTTTTTTTTTTTTTTTTTTTGTCTTTTGAGAATTTGGGATATTGGAAGTGTAATAAAATCATCAAACTTCAACAGTTTAGGTTTATTAGATTGTTTTTCTCCTTCAACCGCAATGGGATTGATAAATCTAATTCATAATCACAATGCATAAATTAGTGTAAGATTCACGAGTGTTATGAAAGTTTCCGAAGAGGTTAATAAGAGAGTTGTTAAGCTTCGCATACACACTACCAAAAGCCTTAATACAAACACATACACATAAAAAATTACTATAACATGTAACAACAAATCTACTTTTCATCAGAACATATTGATGAACCATGTCTTATCTCTTCTGGAAGTTAAGAGTCTTAACCGAGAAAGCATAGATAAAGACAATTAGCAAAGTGAAAGAGACGAGGACTACTGAGACAAGCCACAAGTGGTCGTATTCATAACCATAATAACTCTTCATGAACTCCAAAACCGTCTCACCCGTATCAAGCTTCGTCTCTACATCTCCGTATTGAGATATCGTCAGTCCGTACAAACCCCACCACCCTGGATTCACGTACGTGAACCATCTCAAATACGACGGCATTCTCTGCAAAAACATCCATTTTAACTTGTGAGCATTCTTCTTAATTAGAAAAAATTAGAAAGATCTATATAACGAGGCATTTAGTTACTTACGGGAGCAGGAATGGTGAATCCTGAAAAGACGTTAAACGCCGAGTATATGATACCATTGAGTATAGCTGCGGTTTCTTGATTAGGACTCACGGAGATGAGCATGATACCGGTGTAGATATAGTAGAGGATGGTAATGAATGTAAAGAATGTGTAGTACAAAAATCTGGAAGCAGTCCATTCGTATCCAATCATCCCATAGACGATAAGTGAATAGATGCAAGCTTGAGCCACTACATATGGAATCTCGATTACCACCTTGCAAAAAGGTTTTGAGTTCGTGTTTAGAAACCAAAACCAAACCTCATGGTACATAGAAATGAAAAAAGTGGGAGTGTGAATAAAATACCTGTGAAAACGCATAAGGTAAAGCCGAGTACATTCCAGCGACGGTCTCTCGGTAAAAGACTGTGCGTTCGGCGATTGCGACAGGACGCACAGTAGCCGCGCTTTGTGAGCCTAAGAAGCCAATAACTGTTGCCATGGCGCCTACGCTGTTGAAAATATCTTGTCTTGTTTCTTTTCTTTTGCCGAGGCTCCAAAAGATGGCACCGTACATGAGTCCAACCGCAGCCGCGAAACAAAGACGCACAGTGTTGTAAGGAACGTTTCTCCAGTATGATTTGTTTAGCTTCCACAGGCAAGCTTGGAACTGAGTGAGGTAGGATTGTGAATACTTTGTTGAGAAATGTATGTCTTTTGCATGAGGAGGAACCTTGTTTAACTCATCTATTAGATCTTTGTTTCTCCTAAATCCACACAAGAAAAACATTTGTGAGATTTATGTAACTTTGTTAGACTAATGTTTCTATGCATGCTTACATATATAACTCGACTTACTTGTAGAGGTTTGAGTTTTTGTAAACTTGAGCAAATCTAACACCAAGAGCATCTTCTTGTGCCCTTGTTGTCACTTCAAGAGCCCATGTTGCTGGATTGTAACCTTCTTTGATTTTTCCTACTCCTTTAATTCCCTAAAAGAAACACATCTTGTTCAGTTATTGTGAGGAATGAAACAGAGCATTGAGCAGATAATTCACTTCTTCTTCTTCTTCTTCTTTTCTCTTACCTCAAAGTATTCAATTAGTTGTGAGGAATGGTGGCCAATTGGGCCGACATAGATCTCTTCCCCTCCTCTCGTCAACAAGAAAAGCTAACAAAACAAAACATAGGTGTATAGCTTATGGTGCAAGTAATACTAATTACATTACATAAAGATGAGTAATGATGAGTTACCTCATCAAATGATTCAAAGATATCGATACTCGGCTGGTGAATGGTGCACACAACAGTTCGTCCAGTGTCAACAGTGTTTCTAACAGTCCTCATGACAATCGCAGCAGCTCTTGCATACCGTTACTCATGTTTGTCCTCATAGTAATGTGGAGAACCTATTAATCCATGGTTGGGTAAGTATGGGTCCATCTAGTTCATCTTATACACTACAAGTGAGTTTCCACAATGTGGAGTCACAGAGGTACATTTCGGACTCCTTACCTCTTCCGGTTCCCAAATTGGTCCATTTGATGTTCCTCCCTTGGATTGAGACCGTTTCACTCATGTTTGTCCTCATAGTCATGTTAGAACCTATTAATCCATGTTTGGGTAAGTATGGGTCCATCTAGTTCATCTTATACACTACAAGTGAGTTTCCACAATGTGGAGTCACAGAGGTACATTTCGGACTCCTTACCTCTTCCGGTTCCCAAATTAGGTCCATTTGATGTTCCTCCCTTGGATTGAGACCGTTTCACTCATGTTTGTCCTCATAGTCATGTGTAGAACCTATTAATCCATGTTTGGGTAAGTATGGGTCCATCTAGTTCATCTTATACACTACAAGTGAGTTTCCACAATGTGGAGTCACAGAGGTACATTTCGGACTCCTTACCTCTTCCGGTTCCCAAATTGGTCCATTTGATGTTCCTCCCTTGGATTGAGACCGTTTCACTCATGTTTGTCCTCATAGTCAATGTAGTAGAACCTATTAATCCATGTTTGGGTAAGTATGGGTCCATCTAGTTCATCTTATACACTACAAGTGAGTTTCCACAATGTGGAGTCACAGAGGTACATTTCGGACTCCTTACCTCTTCCGGTTCCCAAATTTGGTCCATTTGATGTTCCTCCCTTGGATTGAGACCGTTTCACTCATGTTTGTCCTCATAGTCATGTGTAGAACCTATTAATCCATGTTTGGGTAAGTATGGGTCCATCTAGTTCATCTTATACACTACAAGTGAGTTTCCACAATGTGGAGTCACAGAGGTACATTTCGGACTCCTTACCTCTTCCGGTTCCCAAATTAGGTCCATTTGATGTTCCTCCCTTGGATTGAGACCGTTTCACTCATGTTTGTCCTCATAGTCATGTTAGAACCTATTAATCCATGTTTGGGTAAGTATGGGTCCATCTAGTTCATCTTATACACTACAAGTGAGTTTCCACAATGTGGAGTCACAGAGGTACATTTCGGACTCCTTACCTCTTCCGGTTCCCAAATTAGGTCCATTTGATGTTCCTCCCTTGGATTGAGACCGTTTCACTCATGTTTGTCCTCATAGTCATGTGTAGAACCTATTAATCCATGTTTGGGTAAGTATGGGTCCATCTAGTTCATCTTATACACTACAAGTAGTTCATCTAGTGAGTCACAGAGGTACATTTCGGACTCCTTACCTCTTCCGGTTCCCAAATTTGGTCCATTTGATGTTCCTCCCTTGGATTGAGACCGTTTCACTCATGTTTGTCCTCATAGTCATGTGTAGAACCTATTAATCCATGTTTGGGTAAGTATGGGTCCATCTAGTTCATCTTATACACTACAAGTGAGTTTCCACAATGTGGAGTCACAGAGGTACATTTCGGACTCCTTACCTCTTCCGGTTCCCAAATTAGGTCCATTTGATGTTCCTCCCTTGGATTGAGACCGTTTCACTCATGTTTGTCCTCATAGTCATGTGTAGAACCTATTAATCCATGTTTGGGTAAGTATGGGTCCATCTAGTTCATCTTATACACTACAAGTGAGTTTCCACAATGTGGAGTCACAGAGGTACATTTCGGACTCCTTACCTCTTCCGGTTCCCAAATTAGGTCCATTTGATGTTCCTCCCTTGGATTGAGACCGTTTCACTCATGTTTGTCCTCATAGTCATGTGAGAACCTATTAATCCATGTTTGGGTAAGTATGGGTCCATCTAGTTCATCTTATACACTACAAGTGAGTTTCCACAATGTGGAGTCACAGAGGTACATTTCGGACTCCTTACCTCTTCCGGTTCCCAAATTTGGTCCATTTGATGTTCCTCCCTTGGATTGAGACCGTTTCACTCATGTTTGTCCTCATAGTCATGTGTAGAACCTATTAATCCATGTTTGGGTAAGTATGGGTCCATCTAGTTCATCTTATACACTACAAGTGAGTTTCCACAATGTGGAGTCACAGAGGTACATTTCGGACTCCTTACCTCTTCCGGTTCCCAAATTGGTCCATTTGATGTTCCTCCCTTGGATTGAGACCGTTTCACTCATGTTTGTCCTCATAGTCATGTGTAGAACCTATTAATCCATGTTTGGGTAAGTATGGGTCCATCTAGTTCATCTTATACACTACAAGTGAGTTTCCACAATGTGGAGTCACAGAGGTACATTTCGGACTCCTTACCTCTTCCGGTTCCCAAATTAGGTCCATTTGATGTTCCTCCCTTGGATTGAGACCGTTTCACTCATGTTTGTCCTCATAGTCATGTGTAGAACCTATTAATCCATGTTTGGGTAAGTATGGGTCCATCTAGTTCATCTTATACACTACAAGTGAGTTTCCACAATGTGGAGTCACAGAGGTACATTTCGGACTCCTTACCTCTTCCGGTTCCCAAATTTAGGTCCATTTGATGTTCCTCCCTTGGATTGAGACCGTTTCACTCATGTTTGTCCTCATAGTCATGTGTAGAACCTATTAATCCATGTTTGGGTAAGTATGGGTCCATCTAGTTCATCTTATACACTACAAGTGAGTTTCCACAATGTGGAGTCACAGAGGTACATTTCGGACTCCTTACCTCTTCCGGTTCCCAAATTTGGTCCATTTGATGTTCCTCCCTTGGATTGAGACCGTTTCACTCATGTTTGTCCTCATAGTCATGTTAGAACCTATTAATCCATGTTTGGGTAAGTATGGGTCCATCTAGTTCATCTTATACACTACAAGTGAGTTTCCACAATGTGGAGTCACAGAGGTACATTTCGGACTCCTTACCTCTTCCGGTTCCCAAATTTGGTCCATTTGATGTTCCTCCCTTGGATTGAGACCGTTTCACTCATGTTTGTCCTCATAGTCATGTGTAGAACCTATTAATCCATGTTTGGGTAAGTATGGGTCCATCTAGTTCATCTTATACACTACAAGTGAGTTTCCACAATGTGGAGTCACAGAGGTACATTTCGGACTCCTTACCTCTTCCGGTTCCCAAATTAGGTCCATTTGATGTTCCTCCCTTGGATTGAGACCGTTTCACTCATGTTTGTCCTCATAGTCATGTGAGAACCTATTAATCCATGTTTGGGTAAGTATGGGTCCATCTAGTTCATCTTATACACTACAAGTGAGTTTCCACAATGTGGAGTCACAGAGGTACATTTCGGACTCCTTACCTCTTCCGGTTCCCAAATTTGGTCCATTTGATGTTCCTCCCTTGGATTGAGACCGTTTCACTCATGTTTGTCCTCATAGTCATGTGTAGAACCTATTAATCCATGTTTGGGTAAGTATGGGTCCATCTAGTTCATCTTATACACTACAAGTGAGTTTCCACAATGTGGAGTCACAGAGGTACATTTCGGACTCCTTACCTCTTCCGGTTCCCAAATTAGGTCCATTTGATGTTCCTCCCTTGGATTGAGACCGTTTCACTCATGTTTGTCCTCATAGTCATGTGTAGAACCTATTAATCCATGTTTGGGTAAGTATGGGTCCATCTAGTTCATCTTATACACTACAAGTGAGTTTCCACAATGTGGAGTCACAGAGGTACATTTCGGACTCCTTACCTCTTCCGGTTCCCAATTAGGTCCATTTGATGTTCCTCCCTTGGATTGAGACCGTTTCACTCATGTTTGTCCTCATAGTAATGTGGAGAAACTATTATCATGTTGAACATACTCATTCCACCTCTCGTTACCGTACTTGTTACTATAAAATAGTGTCTTCCAATGTCTCAAGTAGAGTCCGTCCTTCTTAACGACCCAAGTGCATTTGGACCTGTCCCCACACTGCTCTTTCATCTCCCACGACGCAACTAGCTGTGTGTCCACTCGTCCGTACCCTGTATGGAAGTTGCAATAGAAGAAGGTGTGGAAGAGCGACATGGCGAAGGACCAGTCCTTTTGCTGATCTGGCCAGTTTTCTCGCCACCCGAGATCGTTGTCGCGTGACCAGCATTTGTACACAAGCCTCCTGTACCGACCCGAGAGTTCGTTCCTGATCTCTAGTTGAAATCCATGGGAGTGAGTCACCATCAGTATGGTGATGATAAGTACAAGAACTAATTTCCCATTGAGTGTTTTGGGAACCGTTTTAGTTCCCATATGTGTAGTTCTGTTTTTGTTCTTTCTTCGTTCTTTGCTGCTCACTCATTTTTTCTTCGTCTGATTTTTGGACGTTGATAGTGTTTGTACAGAAACTACTATTTTTAGAAATGTAACGGCTAAGGATTCAGTTATTGTCCGGGTCAAGGGGAGGAACAATTCATCATTCTCCTACAATTACTTTGTTGGTTTTTCTTTTTCTTACTGTAAATTTGCAAAACAGGTTGTTGCAAGTTTCTAATTAAACGAATGAATAGTCATCTTCTTTAGTGATGTTAAAAAATAAGTCACTTCAGCCAATGAAAATTTTTGGGAAAGCAATCAAGAAATTAACAATGGGAAAATAAAATTATTCTCTCTGTCTATTTTTTAGAACGTTTGAACGATCTTTCCCTTCATATAAAGGTCTTTATATTTCTCCAAACAAGAAAAAAAAGGTTGTTAAGGTGCTTTTTATTAACAACATGTCTGAGTAATTAGCGAAATATCTTTTTACTTTAATAATCCAAAAGAAGAGCATTCTTCTTTAATAACTTAATGGTTAATACTTAATACCACTGCTTAAGCATTAAGCAGGAAGACTAATTAGAGGGAGGCCTCAATAAGCAAAGGTAGAGAAATTTAATACGCAAACAAAGAGCAAAGCCGGCTAATATATAGTTGTAAAACTACGATCTTGAATAAATCCTAACGTTAGTGGGAGTCCTCTTCCTGTATAAGAGAACTTCCATGGACTATAT